GCCGACGGGCTCCGCGGGTCGAAGAACCCCTCCTCCAGCCGAGCAGCGGCCAGGCGCGCGACAAGGGCCGTCGGGTCTGCCATGAAGGTGGGCACCGGGTCTTCGGCCGGCCGGACCGGGGTCCGGTGAACCAGAGCCGTCGGGCTCCGGGGATCGAAGAAACCCTCCTCCAGATGGGCCGCAGCCAGGCGCACCACGGCCGTGGCGGGCGCGCGGGGCGTGGTCGGATCCCTGGCCAGGGAGGCGGCCGAGGGCTCGCCCGGCCGGACCGGCGTCCGGTGCAGGACCGCCGACGGGCTCCGCGGGTCGAAGAACCCCTCCTCCAGGTGGGCAGCAGCCAGGCGCGCGATGTGGACGGTGGCCGGGCGCCGAGAGGATGCGGCCTGGCTCGTGCCCGGGCGGACCGGCGTCCGGCTCAGCACCGCCGACGGGCTCCGCGGGTCGAAGCACCCGGCATCCAAGTCGGCCGACGCCAAGCGCGCAATGTGCATGCGGATGGATGACCCAGGGGCCGTGGCGCCTGGCCGGACCGGCGTCCGACGCAGCACGGCCGCCGGGCTCCGCGGGTCGAAGAACCCCTCCTCCAGCTCGGCCGATGCCAAACGCGCAGCACCATGGACAGACCCATCGGCCGGGGCCACGGCGGGGGCAGTGGTGGCCGGCCGCACCGGGGTCCGGTGCAGCACGGCCGCCGGGCTGCGCGGATCGAAGAACCCCTCGGCCAAATCGGCCGACGCCATCCGGGCCACATGCCCCGGGTGGACAGAGGCCCCCGGTGCAGGGGCAGCAGCACCGCCCGGACGGACCGGGGTCCGGTGCAACACGGCCGCCGGGCTACGGGGATCAAAGAAACCATCTTCCAGCTGGGCCGAGGCCATGCGCGCCGCGTGGACCGTCGGCTTGTCCAGCGGCCGAACCGGAGTCCGGTGAAGGAGGATGGCCGGGCTGCGCGGGTCGAAAAAGCCCTCATCCAGATCGGCCGAGGCCATGCGCGCGGTGGCCGCAGCGACCCCCGACGGCTCGGGGACCGGGGGGCTCGGAGTGGCCGGGGCCTCGGCCATGGTACCAGGCTTGACCGGGGTCCGGTGCACCACGGCCGACGGGCTGCGCGGGTCGAAGAACCCCTCCTCGAGATGGGCCAGCGCAAGGTGCGCGGCCAGCGGGTGGCGATCGGCCATCGGGGCCGCGCCCGGGCGGACCGGCGTGCGGAGCCGCACAAGCGCCGGGCTGCGCGGATCGAAGAACCCCTCGGTCAAGTGGGCAGCCCCGATCTCGGCGCCGGACAGGACCGGGAAATGCTCCTCCAGGATGAAGTCCGCCTCGGCCGGAGACTCCTGCTCCACAAGGCAGAAGTGGTCTCCGAGGCTGGCAGTCCCGGTCTCGGGGAGCTGCGCAGCCAGCTCGGCGCGCATGGTGGCCAAGGCGGTCATGTCGGGCCGGGGCGCGGGGGGGAGGGGGGAGGAACGAAGAAGGGGAGAGCGAGAGGGAGATATATATGGACTGGGTGTGTGTGTGTGTGTGTCTGTGCGAATGCGGGGCGCGCCGGGGCAAATGTTTTTCTTTGGCGGTCAGCCAAATAAGCGGAGGCGGGAGCGGCGCAGAGGGTGGGGGAGGCAGGATCTGGCCGTTGGAGGCTCCGAGAGCCCGCCGCGTCCTTCCTGATAAGTGCCCCCCCCCCGGGGTTTTCGCCTGGAGCCGCCCGGCCCCCCCCCCCCCCCCCCCCTCCCCAGAGCGGCGATCTGGCTGCCGGGCGCTCAGGTGGCAGCTCCCCAGCGCCCTGGCCCGGCTTCCGCCTGCTCGGCAACGGGCAACGGGCCCCACCGGGCTCTTCCTCTCGGGCCCCGGCCCCGGGAACGAGGAGGGGGGGCGCCGCGGGAGCCAGCCCCGCGAGTACCGGGGAATTGGCAGGGGTCTGGCCGATCCCCCGGCGGCGTGCCACCCCGCCCCGGTCCGGCCCCCCCCCCCCCCCCCCCCCCTCGCCCACCTATGCGTGCAATACCCCAGCCAGCGTAGGATCCCAGGCAGGTAGACACTACTAGCATGCCACCATGCAGATTGTCAGGCGCCACGGATTTCCTGTCCCGATCCCCCCGGCTCCCGGGGCGGTGCCCCTGGTCGGCCCTGGCGATGTGGGTGGATTTTCAAATAGTAACGATTGGAATGGCATTTATGTGCTCCGGGATCATGCCGCCTCGTGATGCGTCACATGCGGGCCTGCTCGCCGATCACCCCTCGCCAGGAATGCAATCCGGTCAGAGGGGAGTTGGGAAAAAAAAATAAAACAAGCCCGGATGCCGCCCCGCCGGCACGGCCCCCTCCCTCTCACCCGGAGAGCCACCATCTGCCCTCCACCTGCTCCCACTCCCGCACATGGCAAGAGTGGCGACCCTGCTGCCACAAGCGCATTTTGGTTGCCAGTACCGCGCCTCTCCCCTTGTCTCCAGTCCTCTGCCTCCTTCGTTGCTCGCTCTGCCGCCTTGACTCATACATACTCGCGGATGTTTGACTCGTCGCCGCCCTCGAGTCCGGGCCAGGAGAACACCTGGCCGCCTCCCCCGGCGGAGTACCCCGCTCTTCCGCCATCCGCCCTCGGAGGCGCCACAGCCATGGACCCCTCGGCCGAGCGGGATTCCTCGAGCGAGGAGGAGTTGGATTACATGTCGGACGCGGTGCTCCAGGCCGCTGAAGATGCCTTGCAGAAGTCCCGGTCGCTGACCGGGCGACGCCCCGCCAAAATGGTCACCAAAAAGCGGTATGCCGACTGGAGCCCAGCCTTCCTGCTCCTCCCCTTTCCCCCTTGCCATGGCGCTGACCGGTCCTTCCTCTCTTCGGGCATGCCGTAGCGGCCCAGCGCGCACGCTGCCCCTGGCCGAGCGAGCCATGGACGCCCTCCGCGATGGCATGCAGAAGCCCCTGCAGAGCGACAACAAGGGCTTCAGACTGCTGTATGGAGAAACGGCCCCGAAGCCCGGAGGCGATTCCATCTTTTCCGGAGTGGTGGGAGCCCCGCCTGGCGGCGCCTCCTCAAGTGCCATCCCCCCTGCGCCCATCCAGGTAGACCTCGATCGGTTTGAACGTGCGTACGAGCCACCCTCGGCCCCCCCCCCCCCCCTTGCGCCGTTTGTCCCCTCGTCCGACTCACATCCCCGCTCCTGGCATCCCGGCAGTGGGCCATCGTCTGGGGCTGGGCTTTGGCATGGACGAACTGGCCGCGCCGTTTGTGGCCGACGCGGCGGCCGATTCCTCCATGCCCGCCGAACCGGCACACTATGCCGAGCGGGTTTTCCAGGCTCGAAGCTCCCGGCAGGACGCCAACGATGAGCGCGCCGCCCGTAAGCTGTGCTTCCGTCTGGACCTGAAGCAGGTATGTCCCCGTGCCGGTGGCCCTTTTCCCCGGCCCTTTGCCTCGCTCCTCCCTGCTTCCCCGATCCCCCGTAATCAGTTGCCCCTTCCTCACCTGCCCCCCTCGCCGCAGAACATCCCACCATCGTGTCTCTGGCCGATCCTCTGGGCGAAAAGATTCACCTCAGTGCAGGAGATCCCAACGCCTCCGGACACCTGCCTCCACTGCGATGTCGCCTCCGGCCCAGGAAGCCCAGCCCCCGGGGAGGTGGCTCCCCCCACCGAAGCCAATGGTCGGGCTTCCCCCCGGGACTCCGAAGGCGAGGCCGATGCCCCGTCGGAGATTGGCGAGCCGGCCGCGCTCTCGAAGGCCGACATGCTTGCCACCGCCCCGGAAGTTGCCACTGTGGCCACTGCCCAGGGTGGAACTGCCAGTGATATGCCCGAAGCCAGCATGGGGGCCGCCCCGTCGGAGCCTTTGCCTGGAGACCCGCCCACTGCCACCGGGCCGCCATGCCGCATCGGAGTATCCGGATGCTCGGTCTTCGAGGCGCTTGAGGTACACGCCGCTTCCTCTTTTTCTTCCCTTTTCCTTCTCCCCTACATCATGCCGGATTCCGGTGGCCTCCCCTTTGCCCCCCCCCCCTCCCCCTACTAATCGCTGTCCATGCCGCTTCCCAGGTGGCGGATCGCCTGAGCGAGGTGAATGAACATCTTCGCAGGCGTCACACATTTTGCATCTGGTGCATGGATCACTTCGAGCCGGCGGACTCTCCCGGGGGATCCAGCCGATCACAGTGTCCGGGCCCGACTCGAGACCTCCACTTCCAATAGATACCTCTCCCCCTGTGACCCAATTGCCGGCAAGTCCGGGATGATGGAGAAGACAAGAAGCGACAGGCAGGCCGAGGGTGGGCATTTGGACCGGTGCATTGCGTGCCCGCCCGGGGCCGAGGCAAATCAGATGGCTGTTGTGAAGGAACAAGTCGACATGGATCGATGGGATCCCCCGCTGAGGGCCAGCAAGTGGGCGTCCTCATCGGTGGCGGCCTCCGGCGGCGGGGGCCGCGGCGCCGAGGCCAACCCGGCGTCGATGGCCTCCGTCAGCGCGGCGCACTGGCACCGATGGGAGAAACGCAGCCGGGGGGCGCTCCCAGCCGCAGGGGCCCCACCGACGCCGGTCACCTGCCGGTCAAAATAGTCCGCCTCCAGCGACAGAGCCGAAAGGCTGTCAAGCACATCATCCACCGGGAACCACGAGACCCGGCGGAAGCCCGAGGGCAGCAACAAGGGAATGGGCCGGATCAGCGGGAACCGGAAGGCATTCAGCCCGGCCGCTCGGCCAAGAAGGAGGGAGATGTCCGCGTGGAAGTCCCGGAAATGCAGCGGAGTGTCATCGGCCAGGCGCTATGCCCGACATCGAGAAGGGACCGGAAGCCGGGGAAAAAAAAAGGGGACAAGAGCAAGAGACACCGAGCCCGGCGGCGAGAGGAGAAAGGCACGGGCCGTCAGTCCCGGCGCATGGAAGCCAAGGGCAGAGGAGTGGCAGGAATGGAGCTGGACAGGCGACGTACTTCATCCGGCAGGCCGGCCGACACGGCACGCAAAACATCCGCATGCCACTGGGCAGCGAACACCTGCGCCGCGGGGATGGCCAGCCGGTGCAGGAGGAGGCGCCGGAAGGCGTCGTGCAGATGATCCGGCGAGGAGGCGCAGGACTTGGCCAGGGACACGCCGCCAGCGCCAGGACGCCCACCGGGGCCGGGAACGGCGTCCGCGCCCACCGGCGTCGGGAGTGCGCTGTGACAGGCAACCACGGCCACAGCCACCGGGCCGCACTTGGCCACGACCAGAGACATGGGCTGCGCGTAGGAGAGGCAGGACACGCGGGGAGCATCGGCGAATGCATGAGGGAGGTCAGAATTGCAGCAACACGCAAGGCAAGAAAGCCCTCCTACACCCATGCGCAGGAAGTGACCATACCCCGGACAGGGGCGGAAGCAACTCCACCGATGAAAAAGACGCCAGGAGTGGGGACGACCCGCCGGAGAGAGCCGATGACCGAGGCGTGCTGAGATTCGAGATGGACGGGTGCGACCCGCTGAAGCCCGGCAGGGAGGAGATCGACAGCGGCGCCAGGCCGAGGCTTGGGTAGGCAGCGCGCCCGGGGCCTCCACTGGTGGCCCCGGCGGCTGGGGCCCCCACCGGCGCCGTGGTGGAAAGCGGCGACGAGCCGGACGACAGGCCTGGCACCACCAGCGACGAGGAGGAGCCTGATGTGGACAGGGCCCCGGGGATGGAGGCGGTCGGCGACTGGCCGCCAGTCGCCTGGGCGATCGGCCCGAGAGCCGGCGAGCTGCTGGCACTACCGAGACCCGGCGACTGGGGGTCCACGGTGATTGCCGGGAAGGAAGAAGAGGGCAGAGAGCCTGCCGGGGTGGAGGAAGCCGCCGAGGCCGAGGCCGAGGCCGAGGCTGCCGAGGCCGATGGCCCGGCCCCGCCAAGATGCAGGGAGATGGTCGGCAGCGACTGCAGGGCCGGCGAGGAGGACGCCCCGGACAGGGGCCCCGGACCGTAGCCGGTTGCACGTCGAGTCCCCAGGGCCACCACGGCGGCCGCCGCATGGCGATGGTGCACATATGACCGCTGTGGCTTCAGGACAATTGGCCGCTCGGCGACCGAGGAGTTGCTCAGGTCCGTCGGGCAGAGGGTGGTGGAAACGGTGTCTTTGGACATGTGTCAGCGCGAGGAAAATGGGCTCCAGCTCAAGCCAGTGGCCGGCCGGGGGGGGGGGGACAAAAAAAGGCACAGGAGCGTGACCGGGCGAGTGTGGACACTCGCAAGCGCACCCGAGCCATCCAGCTCGCGACCAAGCTGCAGGAACACATGGCTGAGGGCGGCAATTTCATCCGGCTCGAAGGACAAAGCCAGGCGATTGGCCGTGGAGAAGATGTCATCCAGCAGCGGCGACAGAGCGAGCCCGGCGCCGGGAGACCCGGTGTCCGGCGTCGGGTCGGAGATCGCCCGGGCCGGCGCCTCTGGCACCGCTGTCACCCCGAGCCCCGGTTCCGAGAGGAAGCGTCCCGGGGCCGGTGGAGCGTCGGCCCCGCCACCGGCGTCCACCCCGGGCAGGGTGACGCACGCCTGCGAGCAGGTGTCGCAAACCAGGTCGGAGCCCGGTACGGCAGATGTCCTGTCCCCGGCCCTGGGGCGTTGCGTCCACAGGGCCGAGAGACTGCCACAGAGGGTGCGCGCCTCGAACAGATGCCCGGCCACTCGGGAATCCGAAGGGAAGACCACCACCGCCAAGGAGGCGGAGTCGAAGGCCGCCGCCGGGGACCCGGCTGCTGGGGCCAGAAACTCCCCCACTGCCGGGGCGGCGGCGCCCACCGCGTCGAGGGGAGTCCGCTGCGGCGCGTCGCGGAAGAAGGCCGGCACCGGGCTTGGCCCGTTTGGCGTGGCCATCATGCGGGTGCCGTGTTGGGGAAAGCGGGGGGTGTATTGAGGGGGAGAGAGAGAGAAGGGGGGAGAGAGAGAGAAGGGGAGAGAGAGAGAGAAGGGATGGATGAAAGCGGGGAGGAAAATCTGCAGAGAATGGGGTGGAGGGGGGTGGAGTGGCTGAGCGGGCCAGTAGCCGACGGGACGCCATCTGAAACCCGGTGCTGGTCGTCGGCCCTGCCCCCCCCCCCCCCCCCCCCCCCCCACCGTCCCTGTGGCGCCCTAATTCGGTCACCCTTGGACGAGGCAGGGCCGAGAAGGACGGATGAGAGAGAGAGAGAGAGAGAGAGAGAGAGAGAGAGAGAGAGAGAGAGAGAGAGAGATCAATGGACGCAGGATCTGGCCCCCGCCTGGAATGCGCACCCCTCGGGGCGCTGGGCGGGCCAGACACCTGCCAACAGGAGGGGCGGCCGCGGCCGGGGGCTTGTCAGCCCGAACCCTCGGCAGGACCCCGAGAAACGCCCAAGCCCAGCGGAAAGCACCCGACAATCCTGCCAACGAAAGTAAATCACATTCCGGCCCCCTCCGGTGGCACCCGCGCCCGGGCCCGGGGGCCCTCTTGGCGGCCGCGAGAAAAAAAAAGAAGGAAAAAAGAGGGGGACCCTGCTGCATGGTTGCTTCTCTGTCGCTGTTGAGCTGCTGCTGTTGATGATGTTGTTGTTTCTTGTTGTTGTTTTTTTTTTGCTTTTTTCGGTGCTTTTTCCTTGGCCTCGCGGCCCCGGGACCGGGGGCAGAACCCCGAGCGCGAGGCCCGGTGGAGGGGATATGGTCAGGAGGTTGAGCAGAAAGGCCGAAGGCCGACCAGCCATTAGCACACGCTGCTTAGGCCTCCTCACTGTCGGTGCCTATCCCGCTACATTGGATGCGGATCTTCAGCGAGCATTGCTGACAAAAGAGAACATTGGAGAAGCCGGCCCCCTGGCTCTCGGCGTAGAGGCTGTCAATCTCGTCCACATGCAGGCGGTACACGCCGCTGCAACGGCACGGCAGGGTGTACATATTGTCGTCTGCCCGGAGCAATGGGAGGAGGAATGGTCAGCGGATGGGGAGGGAGGATGGGTGTCGGAATTGCCGGTGTGCGAGCGTACCCTCATCAAAAAGCATATCCTCGAGGCTGAACTCGTCATCCACCAAGAGCGATGCTGTGCCAAGACAGAGGGCGTGGAGGGAAAGGAGGGTCAGCCTGGGGTCGAGTAGCGCCGGTGACCCGGCCTTCGTCGGGAAGGCGTCCGAGACGTGGGCAGCGGGCCGGCAGGGGCCCGGGAGGAGGGGCAGGAACAGGGAGCCACGCACATGGAGGCCACAGGTTGTGATCGTATTGCGCCCGAGATGCCGCGGTGCTCAGGGTGTCGTAGGCCTCACGCAGGCGCAGATAGCTGGCTGCCAGCCGGGGATCGGCCGCAGGGTCGGCCGCGTGGGCACCCGCACTGCCCGAGGCATCCGCCCCGGACACCAGCGACTGCTTGTCAGGGTGAAGAATAAGAGCCCGGCGAAGATACGCCCCGCGGATGGCCCCTGCGGTGATGTATTTTTGCGCCTCCTCGAAGGAGGCCGCCTCGAGGCCCAGGACCTCATACAGGGTGCTGGCGCGTGCGATCTGATCGAGCAGCTGCCTAAGCTCAGCCATTGTGCGCGTGCGTGTGCGTGTACGTCGGCCGGGGTGGGGGGGGGGCCCTGCGAAAGGATGAGAGGAGAGGAGGACAGTCGTGGCGGAAGGGCAGTATCTTAGGGAATGGGCGGCGACCGGGCCGCCGCCACGGGGCGGGGCAGAGGTGCGCCTCAAAAGACCTCTTGCGCCGGCGCACGTCCCCCCCCCC